CTTTCAGTAGCCCAATAAGGCTCTTGTAGGCAAAGCCTACTAAGAATTACAGTATCTGCAGATGTTGCAGTTGTAATTACCTTCAGAAAAAAAAACAGTTTAGGTTCCTTACAGATTCCTAATAATGCTGCTGTAAGAAATGTTTCATGGTGAAAAGGAAATACAATTTCAGGGTTCTCTGCAAACTGTGGAGTACCTTCCATGGACAACATCATGAATTGAAAGAAAACTGACCGCCTTCCCTGTCCAGCTGATCTGTTCTGGTGGTTTTTTCCTGTTAGTCTGTAACAACTGACATCCTGGTTTTTATTTTGTGAATTTTTGCACTGGAGGCTTAAGAAAAACTTTCTTTCCTCTCTCTTTGGAAGTAATGAAGAATCCAAAACTTTCTTTTGTTTCTCAGAAATTCTAGGGAGGTTACAAGCTAAGTATCAGCTTTTATATATATAATATTTATATGTATATAAATGTCACTTAAATTTAATTATATCCAGGAGATGAACATTCCTAGGAATGAGATCAAAGTTGAGGCTAAGGCTAAGGTCATTGGGCAGGAGTTAGGCAGCTCCTTTCTGTTCTCTCTGGTTCTAGTTTCAGTGAAGATTCACACTCCTTAGCCACATAGGGTGTTTGTTTCTTGTGGAGGTTTTGAGAGCAACCAGTTGGTGAGTAAACTAATAAAATGCTAGCTATTATGTTTTGCGGAGAATCTCTCATTACTGTCTTGGTGCATCTTTATTTTTCTTTATGGTTTTGTTAATGACTTCTGCAACAAACGAAACTGGATCTTGGAGGAAGTCCTTCATCTGCAGCCCATATATCACAACAGTAGAACTTATCCTGGTGTGGGGTGGAAACAAAGCTGTAGCTGACTACTGTGTTGAAGTCCCATAGAAGAAACTTTTAGGCTTTTTTGGCTTCTTGATTCATTTAGTTCCCTAGTAACAGAGAGAACAAAGTCGAAGCTAGTTGTGATGTTGTTTTTTTGTATATGGGTCTGGGTTCACTGACATCTGTGTTTTGATGCATTATGTAGGAGCAGTTGAACAATTTTCAGATGAAAATAAAGGAAATAATCAGGCCATTCTTTTGTCGTCATTTTGCTGTTGTAGTAAAATGTAATTGCAAAAGCAAACTGCTTGAGCGAAACCAGTGTTAGGAAAAAAGGAAGGAACCAGTGCATTAAAGATAATTTGGTTTAAAAATAGACATTGCCTATCTTTCTAAGATATACAGCCCAGTTTAGAGACATGTCTTAGGCTTTAATGTAGGAATTTTTAGATGAAATTACTGGACTCTGTTATGGGAAGGTCAGATTAGAGGACTACGGTATGTTGCTTGTGTCCTCAAAATATACTAAATATACTCCAGATTTAGAATTTTTACTATGACTTTTAAGAAGAGGGGAGAAGATTGTGTCTGGAGATGAAACTTTTGCCCACTAAATCTCCAGATGTTATCCTGGTATTTCATGTGATGTTATTTTCTATGTTTAACTTGCAGTAATGACAGATGTCCGTATTAGGACTAAGAGTACCCTGTTGTTGAGTGTGACTTCTGATAAACCATTTATCTTTTTTTAGTACTGCTTTTAAGTTTTCTCACACTTTGTTACTTCTCTCCCTCTCCCACCAGAGGTTTCTACTCAATAACCACATTGTTTCAGCCATCAGCAGAACAGAGTGGTGGAGGTATCCAGCAGGGAGCCAGAGGGGTGGACTTTGTTTGGGAACCTGCGTGGGGCTTGGTACCAGTGAAGTGGAAACTTCCTCCATCAGCAGCAGGACTGCCCCTCTGTTCTGCTGAATGTCAAGTCAGCAGCTCGTGTGGCTGTGCTCTAAATGAAGGGTGACAGCCTCGGGCCGGGGGGAAGAAAACGTGGTCATGTTTTAAACATACTCCCCAACTGCATTGCTAGTTGGAAGTAATGCCACGGGAGCACGATTGCAGCCCGTAACTGCTTATGAGGGCTTTTTAATTTTTCTTTTGATCATTTGACAGAATTGTTTGCGGTTTATGAATTTTATTAAGCGTGGGTTTGGGTTTATATGGGCTAACCTTTGGCAACAGTGTGTAGGACTTTGTAAAGCATCTAAGCCATAAAGCGAGCCAGCAAATGTAATTGCTTAAGCATTGATGCCAACAGTGCTCTTGTGTACTGAAGTCCTGTTCCTCTGATAAGCATTTTTACAAGGCTCTTCAGCTTCCTCGACCCGCTTGTGGTTCTGCCTTCTAGTTCTCTATTACGTGGGAACACACTTTTTGAAGATTGTGGGTTTGAGAAGACTGTGTTACTGGGGAAAGTGGTGGGACCCCTAAAGTGGATTTACAGAAGGCCCTCTGTCAAAATGTTTGACTGTTTTATGGATCGATTTGAGATAAAAACGTTTAAGATAATGGCCACAAATAATGTAAATCTGGCTAAGAATTCCAAAATCAATTAGTGTACATTAATCCTGATTTTATAATAAAAACTGTGTTGGAACTTCTGAGCCTTCAGACACAAAGATGTGTCCCAAGTTAATGATTCTATAAAATCCAGCTTTCTGAACAGGAATTTAATGATTAATGCTTCAAAGTGCATAATCACATCTTTGCCAGAGGATGTTTTTCTCTTCTTTGGCTCACAATCTGCCTGTTCAACATTTGCTGAAGTAAAGCAAACACAAAGGTGTTAAGAGTCTTTGTGCAAGAGCTGAAGTCTTCTGTGCAGCTGAATGCTTGGGCTCATTTATTATAGGATTTGTGATTCCTGGTCTCCACATCAGCTCATTTTTAAAAAAACGTGGTCAGCATCCAAGCTGTTATTTGAACAAGAGACTGACAGGTAGTTTTACATGTCTTTTAGTTTATAGTCTTAACTTCTACTGCTTGCTTGCAGGACAGAATTGTTCCGTTTCCCAGCTCTTCCCCCTTTCTTAACATTTGTCATCATGGCTGCATCTTAGAGGCAGCAGAGTTTCCAGCAACTTTGTGTTTGTTCCTCTCTTCTTGTGTGTATTTTTTTGCTGCTGTTTGTTTTTTTTTTATTAAGGTGGTGGTGGTAGATGGGATTCTTTCCCCATGTGGATATTTTGGGAAAACTCATAAAGAAACAGACTGTTGGAAGCAGGGGTGAGGTAGGAGATCTGGGTACTTGCTGCCATTACTGCTGAGGGGTTGAGTAACCTCTGAAACCTGTGGGTCCCTTCAGCAATTCTGGAGGAGGACTGGAGTCTGTGTGGTGGTGCTGCCTGTCTGCAATCAACTGGAGCAGGAGAAGGAAGTGTAAAGAGATGTTTAGGACTAGTTATCGGAGGAGACTGTGGGAAAATGTTGAAATGGGAAGAGATAATAGCTAGAATAGAAATTAACTGATTTTGTGTGTAGTGTATAACTGAAGTATGAGTCTCTGGTTATATGAGCATGTCTTTGGTCTGCAGTCACAGTGAAAGAAGAGAATGAACTAGATTATTGCTTAAGGTCTTTTTTACTTCTGTTTTCTATGATTCAGGTATTCATTTAAGTAAAACCAATGCTGGAGCATACTCTGTAATGGTTTTTCTACCTCTTGAGTTGTTGAGTGCTTTGATAGACAGTGATCCTACATGATGCTATATTTCCTGTATACAACAGATACTGCTGCCACCCTCCAACCTCCATCCTTCAGTATAGCAAGTGTAAGAAGGGAAGCTAAAACTAAGGTGTTCTTGTTTCAGACTGAAATCAGTTTATAGTCAAAGTAAATGGCTTGCAAGACTGCTTTTAGGATTGTGAATATGACAGTTAAAAAGCTAGTCTGGACTGCAAGACACAGTGAGAGTGGATAACCAGATGATGTGCACTTTGAAAACAGACATTAAATCACTTGCAATTTATAGTTTCCCATCTTTCTTTTTCATGAGCAGGTACTTGCCAACCACATTCTTGCATTGCTCTTGTGTTCATGGTGTCATGAGATTGGGTAAATTTAACAGATTAGCTGCGATGGATGTGCTTGCGATGAGTTCAGAATGCAGACTTGTCTGATGCAGAGATGCTTATTTTACAAACAATTTTGCCTTTGCTGCGTTAGAAGTGCTGAAATTGGCAGTGTATGATGTTGTTAAGTGGTTTGCGTGGCATCAAAATTAAGAGTGATAAATATGACTACAAAGACAGGAGGGAAACATATCCACACCTGCAAGTGAGTTCTGCCTTACTTCAGAAACACTCAGTATTCACAAGACTGTTTGCATTAGCAACATTACAAGACTGTTTGCATTAGCAACATGTGCTTCTTGCTGTGGGAAATTAAGGGTTCCCTTTCATCTCCCCCAGCACTGGGATAGAAGTTCTGTTGCCGTAATGACCAACAGAACACTGGTTCCCAGGGGCGAGGCATGGAGCATATGTTCCCTTTTCAGATCTCTTAAAAGGCAGCAACATCACAGTGTGACATTGTAAGGAGGCAACAACAGACATTGCTGATAGTGGAAGTGTGTGTTGTATCAGAATTTCCTCACATGCTTTGATTTACAGCAGTAGGTAGGGGTGAGGAAGTCAGCAGAAGCAGAGATTGCAAAAGGGAGTTTGGGACCCACCAACCTTGAAGATTGATTGAATACTGGAGTTGGGTCTGGTGTCTGCTGATGGGGGATTTATACTGTGTCTCTCATGGAGAGTAAACCTCTGCTAGTGGAAAGTGTCACAGCAGCATGATTCTAGAGATAAAGACCTCAATCTCAATGGATATGTCATTCTGCTGGGTAATCTTTTAAAGGCAGAAAATATGCACTAAAAAGGAAGACTTAGTAGTGGGAACTGTGTATGATATCTGCAGTGATAGAGAAGTTTATTCATTTGTGCACTTCCCTGTTCTCCTCTCAGTCTGTTTGTTCCACCCCTCTGGTTACATTTTGAGAAATGCAAAACATACAGTGTGAAGGACAATTTTAAATTTTCCAGTATGAACAGAGTGAAGTCTCCATATTTTGAAGAACAATAATAATAAACAACATTCTTTTTTTGCCTTTCTTTAGGACTCCTGAGCAGTGTCCAAGCGTGGTTTCTTTGTTGTCAGAGAGCTACAATCCCCATGTGCGTTATGGGGCTGCCATGGCTTTGGGTATCTGCTGTGCGGGCACTGGAAACAAGGTAAGGACCAGAAGCCATCTGTTGCCAAGGCTCTTTCTGCTCTCACCTTCCACAGAGACATTTGTGCGAAAACGTCACACACAGAGATCAGATTTCTCACACATGTATACTGCTAGCTAGCTGGACTAGAGCAATGCTTCTTTAAATTCTTTAACTGTCCTGGGCATAGAGATTCTTTTCCTGCTTGTATGGAATAGATAAAGTAGAAGAATGTTTTTATACATTATTGCCACATTCTTGGAATTTTGTCTTCAGAACTTTTCTTAGAGCTTTCTTACTGTCAAGTTGCCACTGACCTTTAAATGTATGTTCAGTACTCCAAAATCAATATTCCTTTGCCCTTGGAGTTGATCTTTTACAGACTGCTTTAGGGGGTACAGGGAGGTGCCAGTGACAGGAAGACAGCAGATGTTTTGCATAACTTCTAGCTCCTTTCTTCTTTTCTGTGATACACAATTCATGGAAGATCCATGTAGTAAAGCCAAGTGCAATGAAATTTAATGAAATTTACTGTAGTTTCAGGTGTATAATTCACAGCCAGTAAATTTTATTCTCGCTTTGTAAGTGTCAGTGAAGGATAGTTCTCACAGATGATAGCAGGGACCTTTTAGAGTAGAAGGATTCCCACTTCTGCTGTGGGAAGTGAGTGCTCATTTGGACAAGCAGCAAGTAATCTTGGGGATAAGCTTCCTCTACTTCACCCACATGTGTATATAATCTGTACTGGTACTGAATCACAGTTTCAAAACAGGTTCACAGACTGTTCATGTAGAAGTAATATTTCATACTTCTGAGTCTTTGATAAATCTCACACTTACCTGTATCATCCCTTCCTCAGCTAGTATTAAAAACTAGGTCTGTGGCTCTTGCAAGTGAGTGCTCCCCAGCATGTCACTTGTGTTGTGAAATACACAGAATGCTGACATGCACTGCCTGCTGTCTTCAGTATCTAAAGCATGCAGACTTGAAAGCAAACTGAAAGTCCTATTTTTATCCACGTTGCTTTATTCTCAAGTGGAAAGTGGAATCAAGGAGCTAATTATTTTTAACCTGCTGCATCTGACAAGTTGATTTAAGTGGAAATGCTTTTAGTCATACAAAGAAGTCTGTTTTATTTCCAGATACATTGTGTGATAAAGACCTAAACCATCTGATTATACGCAGATATGTGTTCCAGAGCTTATATTAGTAGGTTTTGAAGGCCCAAATATATTCAACTGTGGAGGTCAGAAAGTTCAGCTTTTTGTCATAGTTGATGTTCCATACACGGTATTGAATGTGTGCCAAAGAATGAATGAGTCACCTTCAGGTGGCGAAGCACAGCCTTCAAGATAGCTCAATTGGAAAAAACAGTCTTAAGTGAAGGCATGATATTATTCTAGAAGTGGTTCTTAGAAACAGTGTTTTGTATAAAATCAGCTTGTTTTTAAAAGCCTCACCCTGACAGAAGTAACACCGAGAGGGGTCTGTGCTGGGAGACTCATGCACTCAATTGCATTTGCTCATGTCCTAAGTTTAAGTATGGACAGGAGAGAGCTCTGTACAAGAGATTGTCAAGTAATTCTGCCTGACTTTTGTAATCAGAAGATCACATAATAGATTAGAAGAGCTCTTTGAGCTTCTTAGGGTGGATGTCTAACTGTTATCTCTCCTATCTAACAGCTTGCTTCACATGCCATTTCAGAGTGCTTTTAGAAAGCCCTTGCGTTGCCACAGACCGAATTTATCTGTGCAGCCCATGGCTGTACAAACTGCTATCTAAGGTTTTTTCCGCTTAAACCTGGAGAGTGTGGTTGGTGAAGGCTGGCTGAGCCCACTAACAACTTGCTCCTGTTGAAACAGGTAGTCTTGGTCCCTCCTGCCACCTTTTGCTCTGTCTCATGTCCAGCTCCCTGGTGAGCTGGTTCAGATACAAACTCACAGAAAACTGACCCAGATAACACAACAAAAAAGGGAACAGTTCTCTATTGAATTACCGAGGTGGAAAAGCTCACTGCGAGGTGAGACAAGGACTGTAGCTAGCACAGGGAAAAGGGGAGAGACTGGATAGCTGAAGGGAAATTGAGGAAGGAGAGGGATCTTGTTTTGGCAGCAGTGAGTTTAGATGAGCTCAGTTGTCTTGTGTAATGTGCACTGAGGACGTTGCATGGTTAGAAATGAATTTGTCTGTGATAATTCTACGTATGTTTAAGTCATGGCTTTCCAAGTGGCAGAACTGTAAATGGAGATAAAAAATGTGCCTAAAGATATGATTTAGTCTGAGATGCCTGCAAATTGCACATGCTAGTCTTGGGTACATCGAAGCAGCATTTATTACAATAGACTCTTTTATAGCTTTTCATAATCAATGACTGCACTGAAAGGAATGCTTATTAATAGGTTATCATGGATCATGTTCCTGTTGCACTTAGCTGGGAAGTTACTGAATTTGAAGAAGCAATAGAGTGTTTTGAAATGTTTTCAAAACCTAGATTTACTGTATGGGTCCTCAGAGGCAGCCCCACTTGACGTAGGTTTGAAATGAGTGCTTTCGTGTGATGCTAAATGTTACAGGTTCTAACAATAAAGTGTAAGGCCAAGAATTTGGGACCTGGATTGTTTTAGCATGTCATTTTATAACCTCCAACATGTTGTTTGATATCTCTGGTTCATTTGTTCCTTGCGCAGAAAATGAAGGTAATGCTGATGTATTTTATTGGGAAGAATGGCAAAGAAAGTGAACAAATAATTTACGTGTACTATTTAAGACATGTCAGTAGTTCTAATGTGCTGAATGCATCTGTTACTTACAACAACTGTTTATCTGTTGCCCTATTTCTGCAGGTAGATCTTGTTCCATCCATCGGTTGTTTTCTGTGGTATTTTTTTTTCTTCCCGATTGATGAAAATCCACAGAAATACAGATTTCTGCTTCATTTACCAAGAACAGGCAAAATATATTAAAAAGTATATCTGATAGCATCAATCTGATAACCTTCCATTGGAGTACTGAATCCTGGGATACTGAATATAGTAGTATTAACTTTGTGACTGCTTATTTCTTGTTTTTTTTAGGAAGCAATTAATTTGCTTGAGCCAATGACAAATGATCCTGTGAACTATGTACGTCAAGGAGCTCTGATTGCATCTGCTCTTATCATGATCCAGCAGACTGAGATTACCTGCCCAAAGGTAATGTGGCATACCTTACATACCGGCTTGTTAGGTGGAAAAATGGTCTTGGACGCCAACTCTTTAGTGCATGTCAGCATTGGCAAGATGGTACATGCCTTGTAAAGAGCCAGAGCTGAATGCAGAGCAGGAAGCTCTCCTGCGTGGATCAGAGCATGCACTTTGAGTGGGGGAGCGATGCATGCTGATTGAAACATGCCTGATCGATGACAGCATTTTGACTCTAGGCATTACAAGAATAAGTGCTGTTTCTTAAAAGGTCTAAAAGCATCTTGTAATGATATGAAAGTGACTGTCTTGCACTAACGTGCACTGAGGCCTGTATGCTCATGATTTACGTGAACACCATTATTTAGTAAAGAAGTTGGTTTTGATGATAGTAAACTTAGTTTTGGATGTGGTCACCCTGCAAAGAAGTCCTGTTATAACTATGTTTCTTTTGTAGCTAGTCTTACACTTTTCAGGTGAAACAGTTTCTGCTGTCAGAACTGGCTTTGTGGCTTTATAGCAAATACATTTTTTTAACGGAGTTTTTCTTTCTACTCAGAAGGCAAAAAGGATTGCATATGCTATGTTTAGCTTTTAAAAATAGATTGCCCCGTGCATATATGACAGATGATGATATGCAAACATTTGTACAGACTAAAAGTCCACATTAATAGAAGCTCTGAGGTTCCACATTTCATCTGCTCTGGTGAGTAGCTGGTACTTTGCTACTCATCTGTCATATATGGCTTGCTTTTATTGATGTCATTTTAGAAATTGAACTGTGATAAAAACAGCCACTTTTTTACTGCATTTGGATGGGGAGAAAGAAAAAAACCTTTTTATCCAGTGGAAAATTTTACTTGGGAAAGTCAGCGAAGGAAATCTACAAATACAGGTGTTTGGGTATTTCCAAGTCATGGAACATGAAGATTTGCTGGCAGACAATTTGTTCCTTTGAATTATTTAAAAAAAAAGAAAAAAAAAAACAGTTTTCACTGAGCAGAATCAGGGAGCGTTGTTTATATTATCAGAATTGTAGTTCAACTGAATAAGCCAGTGGAGAACACTAGAGTTCTGTTGGGTCCCCTCATCTTCCAAGATACAAAGTTTCTGTAATGTGAAGTTGAATTATCTTTCTATGGAAGGAAGCTGCTTGTTGTTTTTATTGTTTCTTCCTTGATCAGGTGCTTGGAATGCCAGCTCTCAATATAGGAGATCAGGTTTAATCATTCTGCGCTCCTCTAGTGTTGGGCAAATTATATAGCTCTCCTGTGCCTCAGTTTCCCACCTGAAAGAAATAAGGATGATACTTTCTTCTGTGAAAGGACATTATGAAAATAAATTCATTTTAGTTTGCAAAGCACCCTAATCCTCTTGGGATGGGAATTGCAGACTGCTCTGAATCAGTCAGACATCAGAGACTGTTATGGATTACTTGCTGAGTCTATCTATTGGAGTTTCAGTCTTTTTGAGATGATAGGTGAAAAAGTCTGTGTGTCCTAAAGAAAAGTGCAGACAGGAAAACAGCTAGCAAAAATACAGATTATTTGAGGTGTGTAATAAGTCGGATCTCTTTCCCCAAAAAGGCCTGGTTACCTTGACTTCAGAGGTACGTGTAATAACTAGGCTTGTTAAATGGGTGATTAAAATAGTTGGCTAGCAAATACAGCATGAGATATATAATCTGGGGTTCAGTGGCTTGTTTAAAAATGGGGAGAGGAACTGAAAAAGCTTTATGCCAGAGCCTTGTTTGAGCCAAAATTTGTGTGGTGTTACATAATATACAGAAGGCAATTCATTACCCAGTCATAGAAGCACTGCAGATATTAAAAACCAAACAAACAACTCCCCCCCCAAAGTACAGATTATAAACTAATAAATAATCCCTGAAATATTCTGCTAATTTAGGAACTAAATATATAGAATATATATAT